TCGAGGCTGCTAGAATTTTGACTTCCTCCAATGCTGTGCATCACTGGCCCTTGCTAAAAAGATTTGGACATCTGAAGCTAGGCCACATTATTCTGAAAAAGGCCAGACAGCAATCTGAGCATTGGTAATATTTAGATGGACTTTACTATCAAATAAAGCTGAACTCCAGCTAACACTCTTTAAGCAGTTATAGACCTTTTTTTCCTTTTGGAATATTTTTTACATTAATGAATAAAAGTTGGCCATTGAAAGCACCCCAGTCAGTGTTAAATGGTTTGTCTCAACACTTTAATGGTAGCCATATACTGTATGCTATGATATTTTTATCTGATTGATGTAAGATTCAATCAAATTGAATCTACAAACAATCACATAACCATAACTTCCCTTCTGATCAGTTGGGTTTGATCAAACTGAGTTGATTGGCCAGGGCGACAAATTATCAATCGCTTAGATTAGCAATAATTAAAGAAGTGAAAATGAGCTCTGCCACTACATCTATGAGTTGTAAAGCTGCAATATATTAAATATTTGCTTTTGGGTTTTGATATAGTTTAAAGGGACTGCTTATAGTGGTTGTAAATACTCAAGCTTTTTAGCCTTCATGCATTCTATGTATGAAGGTAGAAAAACCCTCTGTGTGCAGCAGCCCTCCCAGCGCCCCCTAATACTTATCTGAGCCCCATGAAAGTCTAACAATATGCACAGGAGCCTGGCTCTCAGGGGACTCCTTCCTCATTGGCTCCCACTGCTGTCAATCACAGCCAGTGAGCCAATGAGGAGAGAGAGGGGACCTGGCCGAGCCACGTACAGCTCCATGTGTGAATGGACATGCAGAGCAGCAGCTCGGCAGCCTACCTGCTCAAGTGCCCCAATAGCAAGCTGCTTGCTCTGGAGGCACTTGTCAGGAGGGAGGGGCCAGGAGTGCTGGTGGGGGACCTGAGAAGAGGAGGATCATGACTGCTCTGTGCAAAATTTTTGCACAGAGCAGGTAAATATGACACGTTTGTTATTTTTTTAAAATTGATTTTAATATTGCTTTAGGCATTCCTTGCATTGTAATAGTTTGCTCCAACCCCTTTCACCCCCTGTCCCACTCCCCCACCATACTTACCTCTGTAGTTGATGAGCTGTCCGGGCTGGGGATTTGAAAACCTGATTTTTATTCCCCTTCTTTTTGTAGGGCCTCCAGGACAGATCAGAGTCACTGTGATTGGTCAGCGCTGCCACAGAGCATTGCTTTGATCTGTCCTGGAAGCCCTACGGAAAGAAGAGGGAGAAGAGTGGGATTTCAGTGGGGGCCGGGAGGGTGGGAAAAGTTTTTGCTGAACTAATCAATCAAGAAAAGTTATATGAACTAAAAAGAAACTTGTACACTGAAGACCATCATTGCATACAGGTGAAACTCAAAAAATTTGAATATCGTGTAAAAGTTCATTTATTTCAGTAATGCAACTTAAAAGGTGAAACTAACATATGAGATAGACTCGTTACATGCAAATCAAGATAGTTCAAGCCGTCATTTGTCATAATTGTGATGATTATGGCTTACAGCTCATGAAAACCCCAAATCCACAATCTCAGAAAATGAGAATATTGTGAAAAGGTGCAATATTCTCGGCTCAAAGTGTCCCACTCTAATCAGCTAATTAAGCCATAACACCTGCAAAGGGTTCCTGAGCCTTTATATGGTCTCTGTCTGGTTCAGTAGGAATTACAATCATGGGAAAGACTGCTGACCTGACAGTTGTGCAGAAAACCATCACTGACACTCTCCATAAGGAGGGAAAGCCTCAAAAGGTAATTGCAAAAGAAGTTGGATGTTCCCAGAGTGCTGTATCAAAGCACATTAATAGAAAGTTATGTGGAAGGGAAAAGTGTGGAAGAAAAAGGTGCACAAGCAGCAGGGATGACCGCAGCCTGTAGAGGATTGTCAGGAAAAGGCCATTCAAAAGTGTTGGGGACTTTCACAAGGAGTGGACTGAGGCTGGAGTCAGTGCATCAATAACAACCACACACAGACGGATCCTGGACATGGGCTTCAAATGTCTTATTCCTCTTGTCAAGCTGCTCCTGAACAACAAACAACGTCAGAAGCGTCTTACCTGGGCTAAAGAAAAACAGACCTGGCCTGTTGCTCAGTGGTCCAAAGTCCTCTTTTCTGATGAGAGCAACTTTTGCATCTCATTTGAAAACCAAGGACCCGGAGTAGAGAGGAAGAAAGGAGAGGCACACACTGCAAGATGCTTGAAGTCCAGTGTGAAGTTTCCACAGTCTGTGTTGATTTGGGGAGCCATGTCATCTGCTGGTGTTGGTCCAATGTGCTTCATTAAGTCCAGGGTCAACGCAGCCGTCTACCAGGAGATTTTGGAGTACTTCATGCTTCCTTCCGCAGATGAGCTCTATGGGGATGCTGACTTCATTTTCCAGCAGGACTTGGCACCTGCCCACACTGCCAAAAGCACCAAAACCTGGTTCAATGACCGTGGGATTACTGTGCTTGATTGGCCTGCAAACCCACCTGACCTGAACCCCATAGAGAGTCTATGGGGCATTGCCAAGAGAAAGATGAGAGACATGAGACCGAACAATGCAGAAGAGCTGAAGGCCGCTATTGTAGCATCCTGGTCTTCCATAACAGCTCAGCAGTGCCACAGACTGATAGCTTCCATGCCACGCCGCATTGAGGCAGTAATTGCTGCAAAAGGGGCCCAAACCAAGTACTGAGTACATATGCATGCTTATATACTTTTCAAAGGCCCGATATTGTTCTATGTACAATCCTTGTTTTATTGATTGCATGTAATATTCTAATTTTCTGAGATTGTGGATTTGGGGTTTTCATGAGCTGTAAGCCATAATCATCACAATTATGAGAAATCACGGCTTGAACTATCTTGCTTTGCATGTAATGAGTCTATCTCATATATTAGTTTCACCTTTTAAGTTGCATTACTGAAATAAATTAACTTTTGCACGATATTCTAATTTTTCGAGTTTCACCTGTATATTAACCACAGAAAACAGAATACTATTTTTTGCAATAATGGTCCATTAATAGGCTCGCTAGTGTAAGCACCATTGCCTGCAAGTAATTCTGAACGGACATGAGTGCAAGAGTGCAACTGTACATGTGTAGCTGGCGAATGGAAATTTGTCATCACGGCACACACAATTCACCCATCACAGTCACTTTCTGGCAAGGTACCGCTGCTCTTGTGCTTTGTTCTGGTATGTACTTGGAAACATTCAGTGGAAGATAGCAATCAGTAACACCAGGCATTTTTAAATTCACAGCTTTTAAAGAAAACATCAGATTATTAAGGGAAAAACAGGATGCAATTAGTTTGGAGCTGGCTGGATCACGAGGAGGGAGAGGGTGTTCAGTCCCTGACTGTCAGTAAGGAAACAGCATTTCATTTTAAAAAGAACCAATCACCCATTTCATATTCCTAAAATAAATCGCCATGTTTGTCGGAAGAAAAATCTTGTCTGGGTTAATTTTGGGTATTTTAAATTACCTGTTTCTGAGACAAATCAATCCACTAGTTTATTCCTAACAAAGAAGCAGGTAGTGCTAAGTGGGAGGGTGCACCTGGTGTAATCACATGATCATGATCCGCCAATCACAAGAGCAGATAATTAAATATGGGGGCTTGTGTACAAATAGTGACACAATGTCTCAAGTGTTGCTGTAGCTTGGATTGATATTTGAAAATTTTGGCAGGTACAGAAAATCATTGGCATCTGCAGATTAAAATGGAAAGGTCATTTTTAATTAAATTAATTTACAGCAATTATAATTGTTAATTGCTCCCCCCCCCCGCTCTCCTGGCCCCTCCCCTGCGGCCTTGGTGGGTCCCAAGCAACTGGAGGAGCAGATCGTGAACTCCCCCTCCGCTCTTTCTTCTTCCCCTGCCGAGTAGCACGTGTGGTTGTGCTGAGTACAGAATGAGAAGTGCAGAAGAGGGCTTTATGTGTTCCTTCCCGCCCACTGCCTGCTCTGCCCCCCCCTTCAGCTAAGCCACATAAAGGGCCAATGAGGAGAGACATGAGAAGCATGATGGGATATGTAATTCCAAAGAATGAACTGGCCAGTGGGAACAAGGCAACTCTGGACTACACCTTCCACAAAGCCTAAGGACAGAAGGGGAGGAGGGAGCAGGGTTCCTGGGCAAAGTTTTCCAGAGGAGAGGAATGGAGCCTGGGAGAGCAGAGAGAGAGCCATGCTGTCCAGTATCACTCCCAGGAGAGACCAAGATCAAACCACAGGAGGCCCGACCTAGGCAACCCGAGAGTACAGAGCACTATCTGAGTACAGTGGGACAGAGCCACTGCCAAGACACAGATCTGCTGCGCTGCCTATCGAAGATGCCATGGGCAACCCAGAGTGTGAGCTGACACCTGATCAAAGGGGCCATTTCTGCTGTGTTGCTGGGTCTGGTGAGAGGGCCTTGCGGCCAATATTTGCTACTGCCATTAGAGAGTGAGCCATTAGGAGTTACCCAACCAGCCACCCTATAGCTCCAACACTGCCTGACTATGACTAAGGCCTATGTGGGAGGCTGAAATGCATCAATATATACAGGTATTGATTCCTTTTTATTCGACGGATGAAATAAAGCTATTAATCTTTTTTTCCTGAGATGTCTTGGTGCCGGATTTTTCACTTTCATATGGACTTTTTTAACGCTATAGTACTGGGTGAATCCTGCTGATTGCTATGGGAAGTTGGGTATGTAAACTTTTGATCCGGGCCATTTGGGTGATTTCTGTTATCATTATAATTTAAAAAGGAGCTAAACAACTATGTGATAATAAATGGCTTCATATGATCTCTATCCTTAAATAAAAGAATAAAAGTTTTTTGGCATGATCAGGTCATACTTTCAATATCAATGCCGAAATTTCACGATTTCTGCCAGGGTATGCAAACTTTTTTTTGGGGGGTATTTCATTCCCGAAAATAGTTTATTGCAAAATAAGCCTAGAGCATATTCAGGGGCGGACTGACCATTTGGAAAATCGGGCACTGCCCAAGGGCCAGGGGTCAGTAGGGGGCCCCATGAGATGCCCCTGGTACCTTTTTCATAGGCTTTTTTGAGTTTGAGCAAGGACACAGGTGTCCTATGATCCCCTATTTCCCGGGGGCCCCATGAGTTGTCAGTCCGCCCCTGAGCACATTACATAACAGCATGACCAGGTAAGTTATAAATACAATTACTCAAGGTATACAGGTAGGAATGCAAACCTGTATGCTAAAGTGTATATCTGCATCTCATGATGCATTAGTGAGATGGTCATTGGGAAGAATTCCCCCTTACAAATAGCTAAAAAGATCAATGATGTCAGTGGGAACTTATCTGAGAAGGAGAAATTGTTCATTGATCAAGGAACCCCTGACAACCTCTGGATGAACCCTAGGGTTCCATGGATCCCTGGTTGAGAAACCTTGTACTGAACCATTATTTATCATGGATCTCCTATTTATGTTATTCCTATATCTATTGCAGGAAGTCGCTCACATGAGCAAAAGAAGTAAGGAGGGGAGGATATAAATGACTAGCACTGTATAGCACAGCATGCTTCTAGCTATTGCAGGAGATAGTGATGTGTGGGAGGTAGGATTCAGATCCAGATCAGATGTCATTGATAGGCAGCTTGAATCTCAGAGAAGAGTCATCATTATTAACGCATGCACTAGTAACATATTAAGTGGCCTTAGCTTGCATGGAGCTATCCATTTCTAGGAATTATTATACACATTATACTATTATATATTTATGCATGATGGGCAAAAAAAAAAAAAGCGACCGCTTTGCCTTAAAGAGATGTTTGTCATCTGGCAGAATTAGATTAACAATTGTCACATCTTGGCCCGATGCCTATAGGTCACAGAACTGAATCCAAAAGAAGCAGATTCTGAAATGTGCCTCCGGAGGATAAATTAAGAAATGTGATGACAAGTTAAGGGTGTGTTTGTGCACATTTGTTTGGAAAAAGGAAGGCGTTGTTCGCCATTAAATGACAAAGAGTGTGAGTGTTGTAGAGCTTATTGTTTGCCACGCGATTGTCCTAGATTTTATTTTAGATTACTAATGATTTTAAAGTGGAATTAAAGGAAAACAAAATAAAATAAAAAAAAATACATATATACACACACACACACACACACACACACACACACACACACACACAATATATATAATGTAGTCTGCCAATAGCATTAAAGTGGTTGTAAAGGCTCAAGGTTTTTTTTTCACCTCTATGCATTCTATGCATGAAGGCAAAAAACCTTCTGTGTGCAGCAGTGCCCCCTAGCCCCCTATTCAATCACAGCCAATCAGCCAATGAGGAGAGGGGGGGTGGGGCCAAGCCATGGCTCTGTGTGTTAATGGACACACAGAGCAGCAGGTGCCCCCATAGCAAGCTGCTTGCTGTGGGGGCACCTGACAGGAGGGAGGGGCAAAGAGATCCTACGGGGAACCCAAGAAGAGGAGGATGCAGGCTGCTGTGTGCAAAGCCACTGCACACAGTCGGTAAGTATAGCATGTTTGTTATTTTAAAAAAAAACAAATAATGAACCTTTAGCATTGCTTTAAAGTAGAACTATAGAGAAAATGTTTTTTTGTTTTTCATTTTGGATAGAGCAAGGGAGGGTTCTTTTTTTTCCCTCTCTGTGTTCAATTGTGGGGATTTCCTTTCACTTCCTGTCCCATAGCCAAACAGGAAGTGAGAGGAAATCCCTGCCAATTAAGAAAATTCCTTGGGGACCCCCAGGTCACCAGAACTAGTGTCCCCATTGGAAGATTTCCCCTCTATTACTTTTTTGGGTACAACCCAAAATTTGGGATTTTCTTTTACTTTTATTTTCAACAACAGACACATAGGGTGAATCTCCTTCATGTGGACACAGACAGCAATAAAAACTGGCCTTCTAATCCCACTCCACTCTATCCAAAACTAAAATAAAAATGTTTGCCTGTAGTTATATTTTAACAGAACAGTCTTTGTTTTTGAGTCCCCCCAGAACGTGTTTTTTTACATGTTGATCCTGCCAGTAAATCTGATATGTTTCAACTTCCTTTAACAGATCAAGCTGTGCAGCAAAAGTGGAAGTTGGAGGTTGAGACAAACCATTTATCCCATAATGAAAAAAATATATATATTTCTGAAATTGCAAAAAAAAATGTTAGTTGGAATCAGGCTTTAATTTGTTACTCACTTATGTAAAGTTCATCTAAAGTCCTTCTAAGTCCTCATGCACGCCACGCTTGATTTTTTTTCTACAGCCAGTAAACCCCCCAGCATGTTATCCTATGTGTCCATGCACACATAGACTGTAATCAACGTATTTTTGGCAGGGACATTTTTTGGCTGGAAAAAAGCCCCAGGACTAGTGGGCTTCTAGAGGAGTTTTTTAGCTGTAAAACGCTCTAATGCTGAAAAATGCAGCACAATGCAGTAAAATGTCACAAACCGGTGTTTTTGGATGTTTTGTTGACCCAAAAAAAAAATTTTTTTTGGTAAAAAAAAAAAAAACAAACTGAAAACCGCAAACACAGAAAAAAACACGGGAAAACACAGCTAGACGTGGCAAAACGTCTCTAAACACTAATGCAAAAATGCTAAAAAAGCTGAAAAACTCAAGTTTTTAACGTGACTTTACACAGCTAACGTTACCAGCGTTATCAAAACGTCCCGTGTGCATGAGGACTTACACCACTTCTCCCCAGGTTGACAATGCTGCTGTCGAAGGGTATCTCTATTGCTCCTCCTCCCTGGAGTGGAGCCACCCTAAGACAAAAAGTGTGTTAAAAGTGAAAATAAAGGAAAAAAACAGAAAAGGAATGCAGCCACAGCATATAAGAATTAGTAAGATGCAATGCATTACTTTTTTGTTTTTAGGTTTAGACTCACTTTTAGAAAGCTTTATGACTCACTTTTAGAAAGCTTTAAACGTGGCAAGACAAATATCCCTGTTTTTTAAAAGCTTGTCATATACATTGTCATTTTTGGGGAACATAATTGCTACCTAATTATGCCATTTTTATAAAAATGAAATAAACTCACTATTTTATTGCTAGTGATGAGCAAATTGGTGACCTATGTGTGGTCAGCTATGAGATTTATTCCTGTCGCTATCTGGTGACCACACGGTAGCCACATCTCTGCCTGTGTCCAATTATATATAAACGGTAAATGGTAGATCTGAGCGCATTCAGGCAGTTGGAGATATATACCATGTAGAATTTATCATGCTCATTTATGACCACATGATGACAGATCACCTGGTGAACGCAAAGATATAATCCTTTAAAGGATAAGTGAGTTATAAGAGCTACTGGGTACTTTTACATATTCAGGCAACTGAAGCAAGTTTATAAATATGTCTCTTGTTCAATTTCCCTTTTTTTCCTGCACCTTGACAGCTGCCATCAAGGGTTCTGACAGTTTATATCTTCTAATGTTCCCTTTTTTTTAGTTTGTCAAACAAGATATACTGTATCGGCATACCATTGCTTTCATCCTGCTCAAGTGAAATTTTGACCACTTTAGGGAGCAAATTATGGGGTTGACTTACTAAAGGCAAATAGACTATGCACTTTGCAAAGTGCAGTTGCTCCGGAGCTTAGTAAATGAGGTAAAGCTCTATTTTGCAAAGAATACCCAATCACATGCAAGGAAAATTGAAAAAAAAAAATAACATTTTTGTTTGCACGATTGGATGATGGAAGTCAGTAGAGCTTCTGTTCATTTACTAAGCTCTGGAGCAACTGCTCTTGCAGAGTGAAACTGTAAGGCAAAATAGACTATGCACTTTGCAAAGTGCACAGTCTAAATTTGCCTTTAGTAAATCAGCCCCTATGACTGATTTTTGTTTTCTGTATTTTTGTTTTTGAACTCATGCTTTCCAACACTGGACTGAAAACATGTGCTGAAGTAAATCAAATAATTTAATTATTTCTGGTATTGAATTATTTCTGGTATTGAATAAAACATTTATTCAGTTGCTATCAAATGATTTGATTAAAAAACAACAGATTATTTTTAAAATTAGTTTTGAATAGTCATTAAAGAGAACCTGCTGAGACATTTCCATATTTTCCTTGCTATAGGAGAGCTTATAATACGCTTATAATATGCAATCTAGGAACTCAAACACTAAAAATGTGAGTCCACGCACCCACTCTCCCTTTTCATCAGATCAGGATAACGGAATGCATCATGGGACTTTTTGTTTCTAGTTCAGACCATCTTAGCTATGATATGGTAAGAAAAAGGGGTAGCAAGATGTAAGCTTTATTTTATTATATTTTAATATATTTAAAAACTGGTAAGTTACTTTTGCACTTTCTCATAAAAATAGTTGATTGAGTTTATTTCAGCTGTGATTCAGACTTGTTCCCGTTTATTTCAATGACAGTTGTCTAAGCAGGTTGATCATATATTTATGAATTAAAGTTATTGCAAAGACAATTCCACAGAGCAGCCCTGATCCTCTACTTCTTGGTTCTGGCTCCTCCCCCCTGCTAAGTGCCCCCTTAGCAATCTGCTTGCTATGGGGGCACTTGTGCGTGCTCGCCCTGAGTCGGCTCTGGTGTCTATAAAACACACAAAGCATGGCTCAGGACCTCCCCCTCCCTGCTTCCTCCTAAATGGATGTGATTGACAGCAGCAGGAACCAATGGCTCCTGTCGTGTGTCTGAGCCAATGAGGAGGGAGAGAGCTGCTGCTCTTGTGCACATCACTGGTTTGAGATCGGGCTCAGGTAAGAATTGGGAGTTGCACACTGAAGATCTTTTACCTTCATGCATAGAAAAACCTTCAGCCTTTAGAACCACATTAGGCACATTATATTTTATATTCTTTGGAGTATATGAAATTAAATTCTTTTTTTAATGTATATTGATTATTAAGTAGCAGAGTTTCACTTTTTTAAAAATTTATTTTAGCGTGGAACATTGATTTACCTAATTATCCAAGAGAAGATTCCCTTACTTCACTTCTTACTTCACTTCTACCTTTAGATAGATTTTGTTTTCTTTTTATCTGTCCCAGTAAAGATCATGAAACAAATTCTCTCCCATGGGATACACAACAAAAAAAAAATTACCAAAATTTAAAAAAAGAGATGGACGGAACAGACTATTCTGTTGATTTTCCCTTTTTA